AAATGAGACGCTGCAAATATGTTTGCCACTTCCTGAACCTTGGCCATAAACCTCTTTTTGTCCTTCTAGTGGATGTAAATACTCTATGCTTTCTCTTCTTTTTCACAGTCAACTTAATGGACGTCATGTAAGCTTACCCACTTAAGAGATGTACAGCCATCGGGAGCTTAAAAGTGCAGTGTTCTCTTATAAGTCAAAACCCAATAAATTAAAGGGGAATTTATATTGCAAAACAGATAAAGGATAATTGGATTATACAATAAGATTTAACTTTCAAATTAAGTTTGTGTATGTTCTTTCAATAAAAAACATCATTTTTTTAAAAAGATTTTATTTATTTACTTTGGGGGAGAGGGGAAGGGAGGAAGACAGGGAGAAAACATAGATGTGCAAAAGAAACATTGATCGATTGCCTCTTGCACGCCCCCAACCTGGGACCTGGCCCACAACCCAGGCCTGAGCCCTCACTGGGAATGAAATCAGCAACCTTTCAGGACGATGCTCAACCCACTGAGCCACACCAGTGAGGGCAAAATTTCTTTAAAGCATGTAATTATTTTATTAGCAGGAAAACATCAGGCTTACCTTAAAGAACTTAAAAGTTAAGCATTTTTTCCAGTTAAATACAAATCAGAAATTACTATAATGCATAGGTGAAATTATTGTCGAAAATAGAAGCACTTGCAAAAAAATAAAAATAAAAAGGTAATTTGCAAACAAATTTTCCCTCAAGGCCATGTCTTTTGCATAGAGTGAGGTCCTCATGTAAACTAGAAAGTAAAGGCACTTTTAGCCTGTTTAGGGAAGGGCCAGGACCGACTCAGAAAGGAAATGCCTGCAGTTCTACTTGGTGTCACTGAGCACAGAGGTTAAAATAACAAACTGCCTGCGGCCTCTCTCAGGGCAGCAAAAGCCAGCAAAATTGCCTCCGGAGTCCTGAATGCTGCAGTAGGCTCAGCACGGTGAAAATGAACTGGGGCAAATGTTTTTTTAATGTTTGCCTCTGGGCAGGACTTTTTTTTTTTTTTTACCTGTTTACTGTTACTGATAAATATGAAATACAGCCTCTTTGTTTTCTGAGCTAGTATTATTTTGGTTTAGGCTCCTATTTGGGGGGAAAAAACACAGCATATCCGAGAAAATACTCGTCTGTTGGATGTAAAGAGAGGTGTGCGTGCTGGGTGGCTGAGGAAAGGAGAGTAGTGGAAATAACCGCACTCAGATTTGAGAAGTCTGCCCTGCCCAGTGGGACAGCGCGATAAATAGACCAGTGTGAGCTGAACAAATGCTTTCTGTTTTAAATTGCACATGGAAATAAAGGTTAAGATTTTTAAAGGAATCAGGTGATGACGGTCACTCCCCGAAACTTGGTTGCTGTTGGGATGGGGCATCGCATAGACCTGGAAGTCCTGAGGGGCCTGGGGTGCTGCAAAGAGAAATTCAGGCAGGACAAGTGCAAGACCGTGCCGAGAACCCAGGACACAGCAGCAGACTGGGGCAGCTGGAGTCACCGTGGCTCTGAGTGTGGAACAAACTGGTAACCATTGCATGATAAGCTAAGGCACAGAGTCAGCTGATTAATGGGGCCAGTGCTTGTATTGCCATCAATTAAGGACAGACGAACAGGCCTTATTCATGGTAGGAATCTTTACCCCTCCCCCATTTTATTGGCTATACTAGTTGACATGAAGGTATATTCATACAGCCTTAAAAAAAATAAATCTGTGTCCAAAGCTTTGTGTTTTTTGCTGTCCAAGCAAGTGATTATCAAATGACTGCTTAGCAAGAGAATATATTTGGAAGGAAAAATGAGTCAGCTATGTAACTGTTAGCCTCAGTTCACCTGGATTTATGATAACAGCAATATTTATAACAAAAGCGTCGATGGTGGGCTGGTGCGGCTGGGTCCTGAGGCGCCTTGTCACGTTTGAGTTAGTCTCCATCTGTGTCTCCGGGTGAATCGGCTTGTGCTGGGGCTGAGGGTCCTCTCTTTCTTAGGAAATGGGCAAGTTAAAGAATGACCCTCCAGGAAGTTTAGTATATTGATGTATAAGCAGTTTTATCCCCTTGCCTTTCCCCTCCTAATTTACAGCTTTCTGTGACTGGTTTATAGGAGTTTTCAAGAGATGTGATTAGCTTTACTTTCAGGGAACTTGCAAAGGGTTTCAGGGTAATGATGTGTCAGCTATGAACTCATTCAGCTAATCTGAAGGAAATGTTTAGAGCAGGAAAGAGCCAGATTCAGAGGTGCTGACTTGTGGAACGTGGTACGAAGTTCATTTCTAGCTAAAAGAGCCAAAATTCTAGTTTCACAATCATCAAAGGAAAGGAGGTGATGACTGGCAAAAAAGAGAAAGACTAAACAACAAAACATTTACTCATTTGTACCATCCATGCCAGAGGCCCTTGTCTCTCATCCAAATTAGGAAAGCAGAGGGGAGATGTCTGACTGGGATGTAGGATGGAAGGAAGAGGCCAAGTCTGATTAGGAGCCATGTGGACGCAACGCAAGTGGGTGGAGGGCCACAAGGGCTGGACCTGAAGTTCACTGCAAAATAAAGAATAAGTAGGTCTGTGAGCCCAGACTCAGTGAGGATGGTTTCATTTCATTAATTCATTCACTTATTCATTGTGGCTGCACAGAGCAACTATTAAGTGCAAGGCACTCTGGAGAGCAGTTATAACAGTTCTATCCTCGCTGAGCAAATAACTTAGCGTTCCAGTTACGGGGGTTGCAAAACAAATTACCCCAAAACTTAGTGGTGGAAGACAACCATTTATGATGCTCACAGACTATGTGGGTCAGGAATTCACTCAGGGCTCAGCAGGAACAGCTGGTCTCTGAATCATGGTGTCTGGGGGCCTCGGCAGGAAGACTCAGAGCTGGCGACTGGAATCGTCTGAAGCTTGTTTGCACATCTGTATAAGGCCTGGGGTTGGTGGTTGCTGGGAGCTGAGATTTTAGCTTGGCAATTGGCCAGAACTCCTCCACACGGTCTCTTCAGGTGGTCTGGGCTTCCTCACAATATGGTGGCTGGATACCAAAACAGAGGGCCACAGAGGGTGAGCCAGGCAGGCCCGGTATCTTTTATGTCGCCTAGCCTCAGGGTCACGCAGATGCTAGCGCCACCTGTGCTGCAGTCCCTCGGTCAGGGCCATCACGGACCCTGGAGGAGTTCAGAGGGACAGAACAGCAACCCCAGGTGTCAGTGGAGGAGTGCCAGTCGCAAGCAGCGAAAAGCAGACAGGTATATATGTACATAGGTGTACGTATATATGCACCTGCATAACATCTATCATATTTAATAAGGCTGGGAGAAAAAAGTTACCGCTGCATTAAGTAACAAGGGATAAGTGTTGTTTGTGATCGTTTTGTGAATGAGAGCACCAAGAGTCATACCACAGATAATATCCTAATTAAAGAATAATACCCAAGCACTCTGTTTTCTAAACTTGAATCTCCTACATGTCACTACCATTATTTTTACTGTTACCTTATTGTCTGCATTATTGTTTCCTTGATTTTGTTTTCCTTAAAATGGACCTACTGGGCTTTTTACTCAAGTTTGTTTTAAAAGCAAACTAGATAGTACTTCTGAAAATAAGATTTCTTTTTTGCCATAATTTATATGCCATAAAATAAAAGCAACCTTAAATATAATAAAATCAAAACAAGTTATTAGACACTAAATATACTGCTGTGTGCTGAAGGGACCACTCTCTTTGTCAAAAAACGTGCTAGCAGGTGTTAGATGATAAATCACACTCATACAAAACTGAGGGTCTTCCCTTGACTTAATGGGAAAGACTGAAAGAGAGTGAAAGCAAACGTGCCCTAGGGAGAAGGTCAGTGATATTTACAGCCACATCTGGGTACCTCCCAACATCTTTTAAAGAACTATCAATGTTATAATCCTACTTTGGTGGCAAACACTGATACCCAAATGGTAAAAATTATAGTTAAGCTTGTATCTAGGTTCAACCAAGTTCCTGGGATCCATGAGGAAGACCAGCATTTAGCACAGCTGATTGGTTTCTTTGTTTTTTTTTAAATTTATTTATTTTTTACTGTTCAGATACGTTTGTCTCCATTTTCCCGCCACCGCTTTCCCGCCACCACTTCCCCCTGCCCCACCCAGCCCTACCTCCCACCCTCAATCCTTCCCCACTTTGGCTTTGTCCATGGATCCTTTATACCTGTTCCTTGTTTTGACCCTCCCCCTTGATTGTTTTTAATTAACAAATGCATTTGTAAACTGCCATCTGGCGAAGGCTGGGTCCTCGTACCTCCGTTAGGTTTGGTTTTATAAACACCTCCTTGAAAGGTCCAGGGAACAATAATGGGCCGTGGCTAGTTGGCTCCCCCAGACGGCCTGGCCACCCCATTATCTTATTACCATTCCCCATGCACCGGCGGAATTGACTTCCGGCTTCCCCACTGTGGCATAACTAACACTCCTGCGCTTTGTAGAGCCGCCCTCAGTCCAGGGCTCCCAGGCCGACTTGCACTTCTTAGTATGCAGTATCTGAATCCTGTAGCATTCATTTTAAAAATAATCGTTAGCATCTGCCAGGACCACTGTTGTTGTACGAGGCCCTGAAGATATCAGAGGACAAACGACAGATACTTTCTTGGAATACAGAGAAGAGCCAATTGGAAGTAGCTATTTTCCCCCTAAAATTGAATTAATTGCTTAGCAACCCTATTGTCTTGTTGTTAGAGCATTCATCAGAAAACACTACTCCCTGGAGATTTTTCCCAAGAGAGATGGTAACTTGAGGATAGATGTCATTTTCTTGGGTTTCTCCACCTGGAGCTTTTCTTTCTTGTTTTCGGGGGGTATGGAGGAGGTCTGCTGAGGTTGGAAGGGAAAGAACCCGCTATTTATCTCTGGGGAACCCAGCCTGTATCCTCAGCGCACTCCAGGACTTCTAATAATAGTACCTTTCTAGGCGCGGGGCTGGTAGTAATCGACTTTCTTTACCTTCTTTATTTGTAGTCAGCCACGGTGAAGCTGTCAAAACCAGTGGCTCTGTGGACGCAGCAGGATGTCTGCAAGTGGCTGAAGAAACACTGTCCGAATCAGTATCAGATCCACAGCGAGGCATTCAAACAGCACGACATAACTGGTAAAGTATGCAGTAGCCAAGATATTTCGTTCGCTCTCCCCATCGCAATGGCCTTTCCCACACCCTTGCAATGAGACAGCATCTTCCTGCCGGAATTCTCTGGCGTGGGTTTACTTTAAAAGGGATGATCAATTCCAGGTCTGTGTGAGCCATGCTACTTACCAAGCATAAGACGTTATTGCAGAGAGCCATGGTGGAAATCAGGGCAAGGGGTGGGAAGGGTCTAGAGAAAATGAAAGCAATCCTAGAGAAAAGAAAGGAGGGAAGTCTTTCAAATCGACTTGGTTACAGGATCAATAGGTAGATATTCTAAGTAGAAAAGGTTTCTAAATGGGAAAATCCTGAAGTGAATACAATACGAACGCACTGCCCATGAGTGAGTTACTGTCACAATACTTCAAAGCACAAATTAAGACTCTGCTTAGACCCAGGGGCTTTGAGAACAATATGTGGTGGTCACGAAGCGCTTGGACACACAGAATAAGATGGTCTAATGAGCTGTAAGGGTCCTAAGGGTCAAGTCTGTCAATTGACGAATGGGGTGGGTGAATTGAAGAAGACAGGCCGTCTTTGGGAGGCCATCAGAGCAGGTGGTCTCTTCCAGGCCCCACCTGCCCTGCCAGCCTGCCTCCCTTCCTCCTCCTCCTCCTCCTCCTCCTCCAACACTGTGATCACAGCAAGGACTGAAGAACACGCCCTGTGCACCACAACTGCACTTCAGGAGGAAAACCAGTGTCAGAAAGTCCTGAGTCTAGTGCAGAATCTCCCCATTACTGAGAGAGAACTTACATCCTGGTGGGAGAGCGACTTGCTCTTGAGCTGCTCGGCACTCTAGGTGCTACGCCTCTTTCTAAACTTGTACTTTCTCCTGAAATCCTAACCTCGCGTGCTCGCTATTCTGTTTACTCCTATTACTTTGGGAAGGGGCGTGCTAAGCAGAAAGTTTTTGGTTTTTTTTTTTTTTTTTTGCAATTCAGTTTTTGCCCTATAACGCTGAGAACCGGGGCAGATCTGCCTCCTAGAGCAGGGCTCCGCGGGTGGTTTCAAAACGCGTTCCGTGGAGGCTGCCAAAGGGACAGAGTGTGCTTTGGGGTAGAGGCGGCTGTGTCCACAAAAGCAGCTCCCTTGGTCTGTTCTGTGTATTCAAAATGTATAGAAAACCTGATTTGGAATAACCCCGAGGTTTAAAAAAAACCACTAAGCTGGGCTATCACAGAGTCCTGCAGACCAAGCTGATAATGTTCAAATACATAACTAACACACCGAAGTGTGGCTCCAGCTGAGTTAAAAGAGCGTGAAATATTCCGATCTTAAGTATAAAAAAAGTCCTTAAATCACTTCCTATCTCCCCTCGACCAGAGGTAATGGCCCACTTGGATGAAATTCCTGAAACCCTGAGGGCAGAGTTGGAACTTTGCTTAAATTCCAGGTGTTAGATTTTATTTCTTAGTCCCTCCCTCAGGAACATAAGAACATCCTGTATAAGGTCAGCTATTCCACCCCTAAACGCGATCACTCAGTTAGGAACCATTTGGCCGATTATGGTAGCCTTCATCAAGTAATGTCTGCTTAATATTTCTTAACGCCGTGATAGTGAGGGCAAAGCCTTTCTCATGATCTTATTTGAAAATGGTGTTACCTTTCATTAGGGGTGAGAATTATGAGATACCCTTGAGGGAAGGGTGAGCATTAATAATGGTTTGAAGAGCGTGAGCCTTTTGCTCCATGGAAATGAAGATCTCATGCGTCAGTGCTTGAGGGAAGGGCCATGGGAGAGAGATGTCCTCTTGCTTTCAGTGGCACACTCGGTGTCCACGGACCGCTGCTGGCATCGGCAAGCTGCAGCCTCTGGGTCCTTGGGCAAGATCCTGGCTCAGATTCCCAGCAAGTGTTTCACCTCACTTCCTCATCCCCAAAATAGAGATAATAATAATACCTGTCTCACAGGGCTGTTGTGAAAATTAAATGCAACAAGCAAACGACTACGTCAGCCATGTACTGACACCTCTTGCACGCCAGCATTGTGTTATTATTTATGCCAAGACTCGGGGGGGGGGAGGGGTGCCTAAAAACATAGTATTACTTCATTCTAAGGGCAGCCTATTTTCTGGCAAAAAACTAAAGCAGGGAATCATTTGGGGACTTAGGGATCAGAGAGAATGATTTCAGATGGACATTGGGTCCACTCCTTTTTGACACCCACCTATTGGAGGTTACTCTCTTGACCTGTCTTCTGGCCCAAGATAGAATGTAAAATACCCAAATGATCACAAGGATCAAGTGGCCAGAAAATAGCTCTCAGAACTTGGGCCAGCCTGCAGCTATCCACGAAGCTGGAAGCTGTGGGGCTCCTGCTACCCGAGGAGGCTATAATCAACAAAAGCAAAGAAGCTCCTAAAATACCAAGCCGTGGTGAGAGAGCACACATAAAGAGCCCATGCAGATAGTAGAGTGACTTAGGGAACGGTCAGCGTGCTGGGTACCAGTGCCAGGTCAAAGTAGCCCAGAGGGGCATCCGCACTGTGTGATTTTTGTGAAGGTTACTTGATGCACTGCGTCCTTCCTCAGCCGTACCAAGGGGATGATAACAGTCTCCGCCAGGTAGTGCTGCCGGGGCGGAAGTTCACGGTCACAGGCAGCAGGCAACGAATGTTAGCTGCTGCTGGTTTCTGAGGTGCCGGCATGATTTCTATGAAAATAAACCACACATAAATAGGGTTAAATTCATCTATCTTTATTTTCGTGAAAATTGGAAAAGAAGCACCTATGAAGGGGAGTGAGGGAGGAACCGGGAGGCTGGTGAATACGTCGCGCTTGTCTACAAGGCTGCAATAAAGATGTTCATGTGTCTCCTGTTTATGCTTAGATTCTCCTGAGCACTGCTGTTCATTTATTTTCCTTAAAGCCAGTATCTCCAATATAATGCTCGTCGACAAGGCATGTATATCAATGTAACGTATAAACAAATCCCTTAATTTAGAGACAAATGGTACAGTGAGTGTAAATAAAAAGGGTACATATTAAATGCAAAGGGAAAAGGTCAGGCTTTCTGATCTCAGACCTGGGTCAAACCCTCCCACCTTGTCCTCCACCCCTAACCATGAACGCATAATAGCTGGACAACATCCTATGTTTCTCATCAGTGAAATGCCAATAATATTTATCTTAACGTGTTTCTGGGAAAATTAAATGGGATGATGCATGTGAAGGGCCTAGCTCAAGGCATAATAGACATTTATCCATTTAGCAAGTAATTATGAAGCACCTACCCGGCGCCAGGTTTTGGAAATACAGGGATAAATAAGATGGTCCGTGCTCTGTGTAGGTAAAACTTGGTGCTTCCATGGAAAACTAGGCGTCTTCCACAGCACACTGTTCTGGGTTTTCTAGCTCTGTTTCTACAGCACTGGTTTGCAACTCAGTAAGTTTATAGATAACTGATAGCGATACAAAGTAATTCTTGTTGTAGACATGTAAATTCTAGCTCACAGTTTCGGTTGACTTGCATAGCTACCCTGAAAAAGGTGAGTTTTGCCTTCCATTGGCACATTCATTTCACTCTTCCTGATGTACAAATGTGTCTGTTCTTTGGATCCTCCTTTGAGCTGGTTGTAACATCTTATTATTTTCCTTGTTAATGAATTGAATAAAATCTTAAAACATGTGCTTAGTTTTACATTGATGATATTCATGATTTGAAATTTTAAAAAAAAGTAAACTTTCACCCTGATAGTTTAATTTTTTAATTTATGTTTTAGCCAGAATTTCACTGTATTAACATTTTCTGATGCCTCTGTTGAAAGGACGTTAAACCCCAAACAAATTCCCCCTCCCCAAACCCGGTTTCTCTGAAGTGGAAGAAAACAAGATGTTTTAACCCACCAGCATATGAAACCTTTTGCAAATTTCCTGTTAAAAGTTCTGAGAATTTCATTGTGTCCAGAAGGTACCTGCTATTTTGTGGCAGATGTGTTTAATCAAAAGAGAAGCTGCCAGTGTTAACTCCCTGCAGAAGAGCTCTTAAAAAAAGCATAAGATTGTTAGAACACCTGAGAGACATTAGGATAGATAGATTTAAATCATCCGATTAGGCTTAAAGGAAAGAAATTTGTCTATTTTCCTGTGCTTGCAAGATTTGTCTCCCCAGCTTTTGGAGGCCAGGCTTAGAATGCTGATGAGGAAGCTCCACTGGGGTAAACTCACAGGCCCCTTTCCGGATTCTCTTTTATGCACAGTTAGGAATCTTTTCAGGTTTGCGGCATCGCCGCCCCTGCCTGTGCCCGGTACCCTCCTGTGTTGGCTGCTGAAGTCAGCTCCCCTCCTCCAGCGTCCGGGCCTCATCCGTGAAGGGCTCTTTCCCTTGCCAACTCGAAAGACTCATGTTCACCGGGGAAGCTCTCAGACCTCCCCAGCATACAAAACATGTTTCAAAAGCTAGTTTGCATGTGTAAAAGGTTTTCATGTTGGCTGCTTGGTGGAATAACAGCAAGCATCCTTTAGATGTGCAGGTGTATACACAAGAATAAATAGTTATCATGTGCAAACGGTCAGTGCCGATGTGTCCTGTTTCTCAATGGTCTCCTGCAAAAGAGATGACTACTTCTGTCCCTTTTGTGCCTCAGGCACTGCCCACGTGTACCTCTTTCCCCTTTTCAAAATACTCGGCTGAAATGGAGCACCTGGAATTTGGCCATGCTGCCTATGCTGTGGAATAAAGGGGAAGCCTCTTTTTCTTTTTTCAGACTTTCAGATTGCAGCTGTGTGTATTTGCTCACATTGTTCCCTTCAGTGGGGACCTCTCCGGGCTGTTCCGCCCCTTTATCTTTCTGTTGTCTTTTATTACGGTTACAGTTCCCCATGGAGACCAGTGGGGTGTATCGCGAACAGGTGTCAAAAGCAGCGGAATAATTACTTTATGTGACATACCTATGAGAATACTACTTATAGAATCCAGGTTAGCCAAATAAAATGTGGGTATATTTAACTGCCACTGTGCCTCC